CCTGCTTTATGTCCCTACTTCATTTCTACTAGAAGGATTCCCAGAAGCCCTGAGCCAGTTAAACTATATATATATACATATATATACATATATATATTTTTTTTTTTGGGGGGGTTAGGTTTTTGTATAGGGGTGCACTCGCCAGAAAGAGAGAGAGAGAGAGAGACAAAGAGACAGAAAGCGAGAAATCACCCCCCCAGGGCGGATGGCCATGTCACAATCCCTTCTCCTCCGTTCTCCTCACGCACACATGCCCTGCGTGAGTTTAAACCACCGGGTCTAGGACTCGAACTGTGATTGACTACTTGGGAGACCAGCGACACAGCCATTATGCCAACTGCTGGTCCCAACAGTGGTATAATTTGAAGAGCACAGATGGTCACGTACTCAACTTACACATGCTCCCACGCCCATTTAGACTTTAAACTTCAATCGAGTTCTGGGTTAAGGTTTTATAATCCCTTCATCCCTGCACTCTCCTCCACCCTTTAAAAAATTCAACCCTAGGGGAGTACTGTTTTATATTAAACCATGTCTATCAAGTATACCTTGGTATGAATGAATGAATGAATGAATGAGCTTATTAGCTTCTTTCCACAAAGTAGGTTTTAATAGTAGGGAAGCAGAAAAAATGAGGAAGGCATTGACCTCTTGAGGGAAGTAGGAAATGTGGCACCATGTAAGAAAAGAAGGGCACAGAGTAGTTATTTATGAGAGGTGAAAGAAAGGAGGTTGAAATCAATCATTGTACAGCAATATAAAATATTATGATTACGAGGACAGATTTTGGAGCCAGACTTTCTGGATTATGAGACCAGCACTGTCATATTATTAGCTATGTGACATTCAGCAAACTACTACATTCCTCTCTGGGTCAGTTTTCTTGTCCATAAACTGGGGATAATGAAAGTACCCAACTCACAGAGTGTTGTGAAGATTAAATGTGTTATTACTTGTGAAACTCTTAGAATGATATCTTGCACAGACCTTATATGAGCCAGCTATTTTTTATTATTACTTCATCATTTTGACAAAAATACAAAGAAAGGGTAAATTTTTACACCTCAAAACTCCCTCTACCAAATCCTGTATCTTCTTGCTTATCTGCATCCTCTTCCTCTCAGTGCAAAGACCTTTGTGGAGTAATAGCAACGTCTTCCTAGTGATCCTGAAAAATTTGAACATTTGTCTGCTAATGTTTCTTCTTCTACTAAAGCACATAATTCCACTAAAATTTCCTCTTTGAAATACCCATTTGATACCAAAACACACTTCTCTGAAGATTTTGGAGCACCCAAATATATTAACCTACTCCACCTAATTCAGGAATTTTAATGTGCTTCTTAGTTTCATTCACTGTTCTAGGCAACCAATTTTATCTTCCTTTCACTCCATTTCTAAGTATTTAAAAATTTTTTCTCATGATTTTTCTTTTCTTCATATCTTACTTATATTTTCAAATTATAATATGCCCACTCCAGGAAGCATTGCTTCCTTAAACCCATGGTCTCAAACAATTCTACCCCACTGAACAACTTTTACATTGGGCCAACCATTTTTGTGGACCATTTGGGGTGCCACTTTAAGATGCACCGACAAACAGGAAGACTTGAAAATAAAGCTGATCAAATGGTCAGGCAGTTTAAAACTACATCTTACAAGGGATTGGAGATTATAAGGTTAAAGATGACCTGGTAAATATTCCATCAGAATATTTAAGTGTCATTACAGGAAAAAATGGTAGAAATCACTATATATGATTCCAGAGATTGTAGTTTTCACTTTGGATAAATATAAGGAACAGCTTTCTAATAATTAAAACTCCCTGAAAATGAAATAGACTGACGTTGGAGAAAGTATTCAATAAGAGACGAGGTGGCTATTTTTAAATGTATATTCTGGGGAGGTTTCACGTATGCAAAAGAGATTAAACAAGATCAGTTATTTTCAACCTCCTCCCCATTCCTCATGAGGGACTAATTCAAGGGAATAAAATTGTTAAGTAAAGAAAATAAATACAAAAACCTCATTTTGAGTCCAGCGTAAACCCCAGTTCATCTACACAGGCAGTTGTAGGTTTCCTATGGATATAAACTTAACCATCCACAAAGGCCCACTGTACTGCCTGGTATATTGTAGAAGCTTAATAAATATTGAATAAATGGATTCATGTTTTCTTTAATTGATTAGGCCTCTGGGTTGCCTAGGTTTAGTTCATAATACTGTATTAAAACTAGATACTTTGCATTCTTTTAAAGGTCCTATTTTCAAGGAGTTTATAATCTCTATGGGTGAAACCACGAACAAAATGTTTTTATTCTAGAAGCAACTCTCTTAATACTTAGTCAAAGCTTACCAACACAGATAACAAGCACAAAGTCTGACAATTAAAACTACGGCTAACTTGAGGAGTGCATGTTATGAGTATTCTCTGGAAGTAACTGGCACATGAGCTCCTGCACTAGAAGCTATCAACACAGACATATTTATTTAAACTTGTTTTCAAAAAATTATTTATTTACTTTTATTCATTCATTTATTTTATTTTGATTTGACCAGAGAGAGACATAGAGAGGAAGAGAAGGAAAGTGAGAAAGCAAGTCACCAGGTCTAGGACGCAAACCGTGGCCAGCCATGTGGGAGTGTCCAGTGCCTTAACCACCACACCACCTGCTGGTCCCATAAACTTCTATATTGAACCTCTATTATATGAGTTGTACTTAGGACATATGGGAATTATATGGCAAGACATAATAGTTGTCCTTAAATAATACGTTATGAATAACTACAAATATGAATAAAAAAAGGAAAATGAAGTATAAACTCTAAGAGAACAGAGTTTATTTCTGTTTTTCTTTCTTTTTTTTTTTTTGGAGAGGTTTACGCTATAGGGTACGTGCACTCTCCAGAAAGACAGAGATAGAGAGAAAGAAAGTAAAAAATCACCCCCCGGGGGGATGGCTACGCCGCAATCCCTTCTCCTCCATTCTCCTCTCAAGATCTTGGGCACGTACACACACACACATGCCCAGAGTGAGTTTAAGCCACCAGGTCTGGGACTTGAACCACAGTCGACTACTTGGGAGTCCAGCAGTAGCCATTATGTCAACTGCTGGTCCCTGCTTCTGTTTTTTAATTTAGGGCTTAAAAGAATACGTACCA